TTTTCCCCAAGGCAAAGAATATGTTTACTTTCATTGACAAACACAAACCAATTAGAGAGTGGCCCTGGCACTGAAGCTGCTGGGAACTCATCCAAAACAGACAAGTTGCGTTTCCAATAAATACTACCTTTTGCAAATATTTTCTTTGGAGCGAGGAGACGATTCAAAGTATAATTGGGCACTGATGTTTTCGGAAAGGGAGTTCCCATGTGAATGAATACACATCCTTAATCCGTGGGTCGAAATATTGAATATTTTCAAGTGCGAAATGTACCCCACACAATGATGCAATGACGCGAATCGTACCAAGAAATTTAAACAAACAAATACAAGGCGTAATGTGATCCGTTTACAATAAATTCGGACATGAAGAAAAAGGTTAAGCCTTCTTTAACGTAACTGCATTAAGGCACATAGGAAAATAGACATCTCAATAGTATGAGTCGTCTGTGGGGGCTACACGAAAAAGGGATAGAAAAAGGACGAGAAAGTAGAAAGGTACCGTAAGAATTGACGTTATATGCTTGAACTTGGACAGATCATGGGCTAATCAACGGGAAAACAGAATATTTGGTATAGGAGTTCCAGATTGAGGTAGTGCGCGGATAAAAAATGGATAAAATACCTCATAGAATTGCTTTAGGTACACTGATTGTAAAGACCAATCCCCGCGAGTTGCCCACTTTTTGTGATAATTAACTGGGGCGACTTTCCGCCATTACTCGCTCCTAAGCGCACACTGTGATGGGCGTTCAGGCATGGATGCGGCCCACTAATGGCTTCCATATTACGCAACCGTTTACGTCACCCTAATTTCACAATCTAAATGGTGTATGCGAACGGTTTGAAAAGAGTGTAGTGCGCCCAATTAAGGGACGGTTCGGAGGTACAACCACAGAAAGTACCGTGGAGCACCGTCCATGAATACTTGGGTCGGGAGTCCAAAAAAAGGGTCGGTCGGAAATGAGAAACAAAAAACAACATAGGGATGCCCTAATGAAAATCTAGTAACGGCAAATTCCTCTTTACACCCGTTTATGAATGGCGTTTCAGTGTCGCGCCAAAGCAGAATCGATTATTCGTAAGATTTGAATTGACTTCGACGTTTGACAGGTAGGGTAGGCCCTATAAAATGGTTCGGCTACATAATATGCACTCAAGTAGAAGTATCGACTATTCCTTCATCATAATTTTTGGTTTGGCGCAACACTGGAACACCAATCTAAAACGGAAATAAAATTGGGGTTTTTTTTGGGGGGGTGCCTTGTAGATCAAGTTCTGTTTACAACATTGAATTAATAAGGGGAAATCAAAGAATTTGGGGCAATCAATAACAAGCAGACACAAATTTGCTTGGCATTGCATTTTAAAAGGGTAATGTTGGCCTTTCATTAAAGGGTTGCTGCAATGAAATTGTTTGTGTATATCGATTAAATAAAGTTTTTGAAACACAACTGTGTGGTTTTTGTTTGTTTTTTATTCGAGTACGTATAATTTAAAATATTTTTTGTAATTCCAATTCCAGTACCTTATAGATTTAATGCATATTACGAAATGTGTTTTCTTCCCTTCAATTAAGATGCAATACAAAACAAAGTACGACCTTGTGTTTGGCATTGTGGCGGCTTCGGTCCAAACCAAGAAAGTCAAAGAAGTGATAGTGTTGTTTTGTTGGGGTTTTTTTCAAGGCCTGGAACTCCCGTGGATTAAGCTAGCCAGGATTAAAAAAATAAATGAAACTTACATAACCGTACAACAATGTACAGGGTGTAGCAAAAAAAGGGAATGGGTAAAAGTCACTGACAGTTACTGACACCATGTCGGTAGGAAACATTGTTTATCAGCTTGCTTTACATTATTGTATTACTTGCGTCCCTGTGCTTTGTACAGGATAGAGCACGACCGGACCGATACAAAAGACCAGGTAAAAGCTTTATGTTGCCAAAAGATATTAAGCAGATTAAGTTATGAGATAAGTTGTACAATCAATACGAAAGCCCTGCGGTGCGTGTTGAAATGACAGTCAGTTGGCCATGTTGAGTGTCGTGTCTACGAAAAATAGAATTAATGTTGTTTTAATAAAGTATATTTACAGGCAATTTCACATGCGCCGTACCATGCTAAAATGCATTCAAAACAAAGACTGGGCATCAGCTAAAACCTGCTTTCGCACAGTTAACCGTACGCCCAACGATGTCTTTGAATTTCAAATCATGAATTAAAATACATTTGAAGCAACAGCCACCATTGAATGCACTGTAATGCATTTCCAACATGTCAACGTCATTTGCAAACGTACAACGAAGTTCATAGTTTTACCACGTAGACACCTTTTATTGGATTATCTCTTTTTGTTCTCTCTTGTTTTCAATATATATATATATACATCCGGCCTCTGCTCACAGAGCGAATATGATTAATTTCAACCGCAAAAAGGGTTTCAGTGCAATTCCGGACGACAATCTACGTCACGGAAAATAAACCCCGAACACAGAAAACTGCAGTTGCACTTAGTCATAGTCTTTTCATTAGTCCCGTCAGGCGCAGCTCTACCCCCCCCCCAAAAAAAACAATATCCATAAAGAAATGGCAGAAGCAAAATGCAGAAGTTGACATGACATGCAAATTGTCTAACCCCCCCCCCCCCAACAAAATAATTGTGAGGAGAGCATTGGTACACTATTAGGTAACAAACTGATAGCAAGTTTAGAATTGCGTTTACGAGTTTACAACCCATTTGTTTTTTTTCATTTTTTTGTACTCACCCTGTACTGTGCGTGCTGTATCTAAAATGTGACACGCTTATTGCTCGTTTGGGGTGTATTTTGTGTAATTCTAGGTGATTTAGCAGATTTACATTGAATCTAGCAGAATTGTGAAATGCCTCCAGCAGAAATTTGCGATTTTCATCCGGTCAACCTGATTTAGGCTCCCCTGTAAATTCAGTTTGCTTGGGTGAAGTAGTTGTATTTATTGGGTCGTTGGAAAGGGACTGCGTCTTGTGTGGGTGGCTGTTTGTTGCAAGCTTCTAAGAGATCAGACACACATAGGACAAGGTGAAAACCCACAGGAAATCAGCAGTATCCATTTAATCTCATTTCGATACAGAATGTTTGCAGAGTTCCGATACGCTTGCCTGCAAAGTGCTGACATAATCGAATTTATCAACCAATAAGTGTATGTTACATTCTGACACTGAAACGACAGATGCGAACGCCTACTGCATTGAAATTTGCATTCAAAGTGGTACTGAAAATGGATTATTTTTTAATCATTACAGCTTAAACTTATCTGCAGTGCCAAAACTACTAAAAAGAGTCAAATACTTGCTTCTTGTTCAAACGAAATCAGATTACAAAATAAAACTGTTTTTATAATAATAAAAATATTGTTTTGCGTACGCATAGTACTTTTGAATCACTTTTGTTTACATTAAGATAAGTACATAATTATGTTACTTTTGAAAAAGAAATACATGTAATATATTGGATAATCTTAATTCATATACTGTACAACATGCTTCTAAACATACACACAATTCTTTTTATTGTGATTTTGATTATCACATCTTACTTGAGTGAATTACATTAAAACTACATTTAGACATGACTTTTATAAAATCACTGTTTATAAAACCTATAGCAAAATATGTCATTTCTTAAAGAAGTAAAAAAATCAGGGTTCCCTATTCGCATCAATATATACAGGGTGTATGAAAAAAAAGGTAATCCAAAAATCATGGGTTAATAATGTAAGAGTTTTTTATAAATGTAAAAAAAAAAAGATGTGTAAAATAAAATGATGTACATGTTGTTCATTAGCTATTCATTGATATCTTAATATATATTCAGTCATGGATGACCAAGCACCCTTGATTTTAAAACAAAGGCCATCAAACCTCTGTTTCCCAGTTTACTGAATATACATGATGAATTAAGCTGTCGGCACTGTCGCTGTTTACAGTCCGTTAAGCGTTAAGAGATGTTGTTACTCAAAATGGTGCATCATGCTGTCCATAACAAAGAATCTTTCCAAAAATTTTGTTTTTCATCACAAACTAGCAATCCAATTTCAAAATTCTTTAAAACAGCTTGCAATGGGCATAGCCAAAGCTATGCCAAGCTGGGCCAATGCCCAAGCTATGTTTTAAGTACATATTTACATTAGGTAGTTATTATTTTAATGAGTAAACAAATCTTTGAAATGATTGATTTAATCATGAAACATGATATTCCATTCATACTCATACACTTTTCAGATGTCTTTCTCCCTCCCTTATTCAAAACATAATCCACTGCAACTGCGCACTTTTTTTCGGACAGCTCAATTCACCACTGAATCAGGCAAACTTTGAAAAGGTAGGTGGACAACATTATGTACCACTTTAAGCAACATCTGTCAGGGACCAACGCACTGTCCACAGCAACAAGGGCAGATCCAGAACACAATGTTTTTGGGGGCCCAAAAAAAAAAATTGGGGGACCCCAAGAAGTGTTTGGGGACCCCGGAAAATTGTTGGATTCTAGATGGTCTGTGGTGTGATCTGAGGCAATTTCTGACCACTTTAACTAAATCTTTTTGAGGAAAAGCTGGCGGTGTACACAGCGCCTCCCTTTATTGCGGCTTCCCTTAAAAAAAATTTTTTTAATAAAAAAAGGCTTGGTTTTTTTTGGGGGGGGGGGGGCATGTCCCCCATTGCCCCCCCCCCCGGATCCGCCCTTGCACAGCAACAGCGAATTCATTCACCAGCTAAAAGGTCAGTTCATACTTCAACTAAGTTCAAACGAAAGCAAGTGCGAAGCGAAATTCATGTCATCAACAATGGTGGACGTGCTGTGAATTTGTTGTTGATGTCATAAATCTCACTTCGCTTCTGCTTTCCCGTATGAACCGGGCTTAACTGGCCAATTATTCAGCAAAATTGGGAGCAGGCTTTGTTGGCCTTCGCTTTGAAATCATTGGTGCTCGGTCTTCCTGACTGAAGAGATGCAAATAAGATATCAAAGAAAAACTAACGAACTACCCTTTATTAAAAGATGGATCCACATTGACAGTGTTCAAGTTCATAACTTTTACATATTAACCCATTATTTTGGATAACCTTTTTTTTTATACACCCTGTATAAGACAAGCGACTTGATTGGTCAACTCACGTACACATATAGGCCAGTCCACTTGAATTGTCAACTCTATTAGGGAAGTCCACTTGATTGGCCAAATCAATAAGGACAGTCCACTTTATTGGTCAACTCAATTAGGCAAGTCCACTTGATTGGTTAATAACTCAATTAGGAAAGACCTAATGAAAGGTTAACTCAATTTGATGAGGCCACACGATTGGTCAACTCTTGAAGACACTAGAGTTGACAAATCAAACAAATTAGACAATTCAACAATGCAAGTCAACTCAGTTAAAAATGTAGACTTGTGAGCGCAGACATCTTTGAGAATTCATATAATATGTCAACTGTATTAGCTATCCCAAGAGTGTGAGTGGAACACGGAATAATGTACTGCGTCTGACCTGCTACATAGGCTGTGTTCCACAAATGCAAACTGTGGGAGAATACATTTACCTTCAATCAAACCTGACGCACAATAAGGAACACAAATGCTGTACACCATCATTTGAGTTATACTATTACACATGTGTGCAACAGGAATAGCCCATGCATCTAAAGTGTGATACGCAGGGTGGGATAATATACAACGGAATGATGGATCAACCAATCAGGATCTAGGATTGAAGTTAGCTTTATTGAAGATAAAACTTAATGCCCCGCCTGATATGTACATTAGTACTGAGAAGTTTGCATGTGCTAGTTGTACACAGTAAACATAAAGAAGAGAACAACATATACAGCAAAATCCATGATATTGGGAATGTCAAGAGCACAATCAGTAATATTTGGAATGTCCAATACTGTCAATAAACAGCTCCATAAAAAAGATTGAAACAAGGTCAATGTAAGAAAAAACTGGATCATTAGACAAATTGCACAATGTCTTGAAGATATCTGGTACCCAATCTCTACTACTCTCTACAAGAGCACTTCTCTTTGCCAGACTATTTGAGTTGTCCATTTTTTTTTATCGATGGACCATGTGCCAGTTAGTTTGAGTATCACCCCTTGCCACGGAGCTCTGGCTCCGGTCCAACGTCTGTTTAATATAGCTAAGAATTCAAATTTATGCAACCCCAGCACCGGCCAATTGGAGTCGACTTTACCAAAATCGTGATGTGATTATTCCGAAATCTGGACTCAGTTGCTTATTGGTCAATGTGGCAGGGATGCCATGTTTTTCTTATACAACAACGGGCATAGAGAGATAACAAAGCCATTGAATAAAACATAGACATGACATTGGCTCTCAAAACTGTTATCAAAATGCTACGCATGACGTGCAGGAGGGCCTTCGCATTATACGCGCATTACTCAAAATATGTGATGATCATTCGAAGCAGTAGGACGTTAGCGCATCGCATAATATATAGATAGCATTACAGACCAAGTGACGTAGCCTATTTGTGCTCAATTCACAACGTAAAAGCATAATAAATGTTGTGTGTAGGTCATTTATAGATATCTATGACAATGGATAACAAAAGACTCGATATAAAAGGCACCCGCAGAATGGTCAGAATGTCAAAGTCAAGATGCAGTCTAGTTGCATAATTAATCAGCAAATCTGCTCGCATATCATTGACCCTTGCTGTGCAAGGGGCTATTACATAAACTATGTTCCAGTGGGGTCTTGTGGTAAAATTCAAATCACTTTCAAATACCTGTTTGACAACTTATAGAAGTGGAGTAAATTGTTTTACACATATGAAGGTCCAAGACCTCATTACTTATGAAATGTTCAAGAACTTATCTTGGCCATGTGAAGTCTTGGGATAATTTTCTTGCTGAAAGGTGAGCAAAGCTTGCCTGGGTTCCTTTTCTCCTGCACATTTTGGCAGGTTTTTTCTAAAAGACCAGATTTCAGTGACAAAACGCAGGACATATGCCCACTGACTACGCTGATTGGTTATTGCTTATTGTATTGGCACAAAAAGAAACAGCCATGATATTGCTTAATATCGAAACCATAAGATACATGTGACATGTAAGTTTTAAGTAAGTTTTAAGTCAAACCACAATATTCAATCATGGGCCAATTCATTTGAATTAATTTACAAATATACAGCTGGCTTTGTGACCGAAAGGCAAATAAGGCATATCAATATTAATGCTAATTAGTCATGTGACCAACATGCAAATGAAGGCATTGGGAATATTCACGGCTACTGATTACTGCTAGCGCTGGTGCCTGCTGCCCTGCCGTCCTTCACAGAGGTTTCCTTGTGTTTGGTCTTGTCTTTCAACCGCACATCCCTGACGGAGCAGACTTGCCTCAAGATGACAGCGTGGACCTCGTCGCGATTCAGGATGGCTCCAAAGATGTAAGGCTTCTCCTCCGAGACAACGCGGATCTCGATGGACATACCTGAGCCGGGCATGAGGAAGAAAGGCTTGGCCTAGATGGGAGAAGCAGATTTCAAGTTTGAGGTTTAAACCAGAGAATGGACTCCGTGCACAAGTACCCCCTCAATGGTTACAAAGAAAGAGTTGGGGGAGACCACTGGACGGGGACTTTAGAACACATTGCTGACAACGCCTGACACACAGGTAAAGATACAGACCCTTACCTTACATACCTACTGTGGCCATTCCTTTGTATTCGTGTAGAAAACCGCAGAAAAACTCATTTTACTCGCACTGAGAAAACTCTTTCAACCCAATTTTTGTTCATGATTTCCTTGAGAGTTCCTCTTCATTTTGTGATGGACAAAGCTAACCCCATAATGCCTCTATCCGTGTTTTCCAGAAAGGGGTAACCTAGAGTATGGAAATGCCAGCAATCGCGGACTAGGGACAAAAGAATTAGGGCACAAACAAAGGGTCAACGATTGACGGATAGTCCATGATGGAAATTGTGTACAAAACCAATGAGAAGTGTTAGGAACATAATTTAGGTCATCGGTGCAATGCCATTATTCCCTATTTGTTGAAGGAAACAATTGAGGGAAACGTTTTCACTCCTGCAAATACAAGTTTGGTATTATGGGGTACTTTTTTACATAACATTTCACCTTTTCAATGGTGACAATATCAGCTAACGGAATGACAATGTGCTTGTCCACTCGATTCTTTAACCTTGACCGCTCAAAACACAGGAAGCTGGAATAAGAAAACACACAACAAAACACACTACAGATTGAGGTTCACCTGAAAACAAAATAAAGTTGACCATCCCTTTAAATTTTACTTCTGCCCACTGTACTGCAAAGCAGCAATTTATGAGTCTCTGCTCATTTTGTGGTGACAGGTCACATAGTGATGCGATCAAGCTACATGAGGCATATGTCAACCCTGGTAAAAAAAAAATTATTACAGATTTCAAAAGAGCACAATCTCAGCATTACTGCTGTGAACACTGCATGCCCATACCATCTTTAGTTAAAAGAAATTATGGAAGTCGGAACACCGAGAGACGTGATGAAGCGATGTGATGAAGTGGCCCTATTTTGGCCTGTATCTCCACATAAAAAGTCCGGATCCCGACAAACGAATCAGTTAGCTGGATCCCATCACATATAGAATGTGATGTTCGTATCTTGGCAGAACATGCACCCATTTTTGAGCAAGATCTCCAAAGTTCTGAACCTAAGATCTCCAAAGCCACAGCCAAAGACGACCTTTTAAAAACAACTCCGCAGACTTCACGTACGTATATAGAAATTTCTCTGATAAAATTAATTGCCGTAGTACGATGGAATAAAACAATACATGTACACTATGATAACATATTCACAGAATCGAATTGGATATATAAATGTAACATGTAACTGTCATGAATGCATACCTTCGTGTAAGATAAATCCTGCCGTTTTTGAACGAGACACTTTTATCTCGGACAATCTGTGTGCAGCGTTTTCCAGTTTGCCAACCTGACCCAAGAAAAAAAAAAGAGGTAACACACGTAAAAGACTTTTGAAACAAGTTACTAAAACCAGAACATATACAATATAATGCAGAACTTGTGAAAGCTACAATTTGATAGCCCTGATATATAATGACGTCACGTTTTGTCTTCAAGGGAGACAGGTACAGTGTAGGGACAAAAGCCACCAATTCAGATTGGGAACCATACGTGCAAACAAAGTGCAACATCTTTAAAACACACGTCTATTCTCTTTGTTAATCATGAAGGATTAGTAAGCAAGCATTAATGAGATTTTTTTATTCCACGAGTGCGAGTGGAACATTATACTGCATCGCACGGTCCATTTCTCACCCTGCGTATTACGCTATTCCAAGATGCTAGTGACATTCCAGTTGCATGCACCTAACCACTAAAGGTTCATGCAAAGCACGCTAGTTCCAACTTTACTGCGTGTCCAGTTTGTTTGAGTATAAATTCGTTATCACGCACACGGAACGTGGAAAATGTAGTGCATCTCTGTCCCACATACCACAAGGCCGAATAGACGCACTACATTATTCCGTGTTCCCGGGATAACTAATATTCATAAATACCTCAGACAGTTTAGCTATTCCTATTGGTCGAGAGCCCGTCACGTGGCCGGTCTTAAACGGATGATAAAGACATGGTTAGCTGGTCTTAAACACTTTTCCAGTGTCACAATAAAATGTGGACTCCTAAAAATCCAGTGCCTCTTACCGTTTCATTGGTTGAACGCTCACAATCCTCACGTAGGCATGCGCAACACTACAAGCGAGTCAGAATTTTATTGTTCTAAATTCAAAACGCAACGCCCCAGGTGCGTTCTGCGTGACATCGCGCAGAACATGTTACGCGCGCGTCAATCTCCATAAAAGGGTTGTTTACATCTTACTCGCCAACTGAACACTCCATTATTTTGCTAGAGGGATGTTTCAAAAAGCATGAAGTGAACTTGTTGAACAAAATCGGGATTTTTTGAACGAATTATTTGATATTTTTTTACGGATAAGGTATTTATGAATGGGAATAAATATGTGCTTGGTCGGTATTTATCACTCTGTTTAATACCGCTTAGAGTCTGGGCGCTGATAATTACCGTACCCTCGCCTCCGGCTCGGGTAATTATCAGCACCCAGACTCTAAGCGGTATTAAACGAGTGATAAAAACCTCCGGAGCACACATTTATTCCCTTAATATAGTGCGTCTGTGTCCCATACATTTGCTAGTAGGCCGAGTGGTATATGGGACACAGACACACTACATGATTATTCCGTGTTCCACGAGTGCGTGAGGGTTAACAGATTTATCTTGAAGCAAACTTGACTTACAAACTTTTCAGTGGCTATCATATCACAAATGCCTGCAGCAGGAATGGCATGTGCATCTTAGAATAGTACGAATCCACAGTTCGCGATGCGCAGAGCGCGATATGGACCATGGTATATGGGATTATACCACACCATATACCAGGATTCAAGTTTGCTTGAAGATAATGTATATACGGTAGCCATGCCAACCAAGAGTTATAGGACTGAGGGAGAATTCAATAGTAAACCAAAACCATTTTTAAATGGAAGAGAAATCACAGAGCCAAATGGGGACAAGAGCACAAAGCTTCCATTGGGAACAAAATGCAGCATCATTATGTATCAGGTTAATTCTTCCGTCATGCAGCAGTATAAACTTGGCTACGGTCAAAACTTCCATTGATTTCTCCTTCTTATTTCTCCCCAATTTTCAAGACCCCTTTAATGTGTCTCAATTGAAGAAATAAACTACACAATATCACACCATCGAATAATTCGATGTGTTGTTCTTACGCACATTTTTTATGCACAAGCCAATCTATAGGAGAGGCGTCTCTGAATGGGATAGAGCCATCATTTCTCTTATCTATTACTGAGATGGCATTACCATGCCAACCTAGAACTTAATTATAGCTGGTGACTTCAATGGGATTAGCAGTCCAAAACCATTTTAATTGGAAGAGAAATTCATATAGAACCTAATACAAAAAATACTTGCCACTAAATGAACAGCAAGCTATGAATAATGTACACACCATAATTAATTAATACAGCATGCATGACGCAAGGTTGTGATGCATTACATGTATACTGTCCAACCCCGCATAGGCATATACCAGTACATGTATACCGATATTGTTATAATATTATGGTGGAATTTTTAATATGACCTTGATTTTTTTTTCTTTTACTAATATTTTTTGGGGGAAATTTTGAGTAATGCAGTACACGTTTCAAAAGATTGGTGATCCGGGATTACAGAGAAGTTAAATATTTCCTTCAAAGACAGTAGAAAGACATATGTTTCTACTTTTTAAACACTGGTTTTAAGTACCCGTAATTTCTAAGAAAGAAAGCGCACAGACTGTTGGTCCGATATATTTTCAGCCAAAATTACCCCATTCACTAAATATTTTAAGCTAAGGGGTGAGCTGACCAACATTTAAAAACACAGAAGCAAGCCTTATATCCCATAATGCTCTTTTTTTATTGACTCCAACTTTCACAATTTGTCAGCGAAAGCCAAGATGCTTACCTGGCAATGGCAGCTCCTCTGATGGCAAGGAGAACATCTCCAGGAAGTTTCCCTGACCCTCGTCAGCAGGTGTCCTTTCTGTGACTACAGCCGGTATGATGTACTGGAGGAAAATCAGAAAACACAATCCATGTTTTCATTTTTCAAGTTTTGTAAATTAAATTCAGTGAGTAGTCATGGAAGTGTTGCTGGGGAAGTTTGGCCTAGGGGTTAAGGTTCTTGACTCATGATCAGAGGGTCAGGGGTTTCGAATCCAGCTGCTGGTCATATGTTGTGTTCTTGGGCAAGCCACTTCATCCCTACTTGCCTCTCTCCAACCAGAAGTTTAAATGGGTATCAGCATTAGCTGGGGAGTAACCTGCAATAGACTGGCATCCCATCCAGAAGGAATAGAAATGTTCTGAGTCGTTTCATCCCACTGAAACTGGGGATAAATGCCAGCCTGATGGGCCATATTGGCTTGGGACATACTTTTTAGTAATGGAAGTTTACGTCAGGTTTTGCATGTTTTGATATTTTAAGTGGAGGTTCCTATATCCCTTGGCCTTCGGCCTTGGGAAATAGGACCCTCTTCTGGTCAATCACAGTCCCTCAGGACGCACTAGTGCACTAGTGCACTAGTGACCTCATTGCCAGTCTATATGTGTATTTCTCCATGCTACAAGGTATCATCAAAAGTGACAATGCATCTTCCTGACAAAGGAAGCTCTTACCTTCCTTCGTCTTTCTAGGGTATTTCTCCTTTGTTTCTGTGCATGAGTTGGCAGTGACTGCCACATGATGTAACTGCTATCGTACTTGGCTTTCACACGCGGGAACCTGCTGAAGATGTTGCCTGTGATGAACACCTTCACCCCAAGGTATATTCCTGGATCAGAATGCATTGTAAATGGCAAAATGTAAGTCTTTTTACAAGAAAATACAAACCCATTGAAATCCCTCAGGCCTCAGACCTTTTGGAACTAGAGTAAATAATGCTTCAACCCTAAAGCCAAATTCCACGTGTCTATTTTCGATGTGCATGAATGTCTCGAATACCTTTCAATTCTTTTTAATAAAGAGGTCATTGCATTTCTGAGATCAGAAGGGGAGGGGGGAATGCCCAACCCACAAGGGGATCTGACAAACTGGGGGAGAACAGTAGTTTAGTTAGTAGAGGACACTGGAGCCGTATTCTGGAGGTTGCAGGTCCCAGTCTCCCTACAGTCATTTTGTTTTGGTTGAAATAGAAAACCCACCTCCACAGATGAAGAACCACTCCCCCGGCAAGACTACAGAGGCAATGAAAGCACAGAGCAGGCCTGTGTAGAGTTTCTGTGTAGCCTCAGGGTTACCCCACATGACAAGGCTGCGAATGACCAAAAAAAGGGAAACATGCAAGCACCTCCTTTTAAGACAAAACCCGAGTACAGAGCTTATATTCGGGTTTTGGTCCAAGCCTGTACCAGGATTTCAACTCTCCCTCATCTCAAACTTAAGTCCCCCTGGGGGAGTTTATTACATGGTTGAATGCCCACAACCAGCAGGAAGATATTAGTAATAATATCAACAGACTGAATGATTTGTTAGATTTGCCCGATAACCCTTCCCATGAGGCCTAAACGCACACATATTGTCAATAAATATAGTGTCTAGTGTAACATTGTTTTTGTCCAGAAACGAAACTATCTTTCCTCTTTTTTTGATCATTTAAACTGGTGCACAAAAACTGGAAATCCTGAATTGAGTGCTGCACATATGTGGGTGTATTGTACAAAGGGGTGTATTGTGCAAGAGTGTTATATTACAGGGACAAAGGAAAAACAAAGCATTGTCCTCAGGAGTATAGTAAAACAAGAGTGTACATGTGTGCCCTAAGTGGTTAACCAGATATATTACAGCACCATATAATGACCCTCTAGCACAAAACCAGTCACTTGCACCAAGTTTTGAAAACTGGGAATTTGGTCTCTTTGGAAAAGGACATTGAATTAAGCTGTCCAATGATGTATAGATGGTAGATAGACGAACAGGATTTAGTAGAAGCACAACGTTGAAAGCCCCAGAATTCATCAAATTCATCTGGTAATGAGAGGTTACCACACTAAAAGTACTTTTTTCCATGACTCACTTTTGTATCTTTTCTAGGCCATCTGCCAACAAGCCCATGTAATTCTGGACCCGTCTGGCAACCAACAAAACAAGTTGAAACTTGTCAGAGAGCCCGAGTTGTTTGTCCATGTCGCTGTTCTACAATGGGAAAATAACAATTTATCATCAAAACCCATTTAGTAATAGAATGAATCCATACGGTGATTATGTATTTCTTTATTCTATAACACCCAAGTAAATCCTTGTCATGTGATTGGAGGATTGTAGGTTGCGCGAGATTCATTAATCAAACCACTGCATGGCCTACCTCATAAACCGTGCATTTTTGGTTCCATTCACTGTGCATTATCAAGCCATCCCTTTTGATATATTGCACGCAAACGCTAGACCAAAGATCGTATAGCGCCCGGCATAGGCGCGCAGTGGGGCTATCGATCTTTGCACTATAGACCACATTATGCATTTTACAAAACATGCCTTAGAAGTCGATGCAGTTACAAACTAAACTTGCCATGCAGATTTGTTTGCACTGTTTTAAGAACTTGCAGTATTTACTTTCATATTGTTAATGCTTTGACTTTAAAAAATTGCTAACTTGAACTTTGAACAAGCTGGGGAAAAAATGGATGCCATTTTGTATGTTGTTTATTCTTACAGTTTTATCTTCCAATCAAATGACAAATATCTACTTGGATGTTATAAATAACAAATAATGAATGTTTTGCATTCGTTTTTGCCTCGTTGAATGGAACATTCCATCTTTCAACTCATGAAAATATTCTCACCCTTGCACTCATAAACATTTATTATTTGTATATTGTCACAGCACAATTTCTGTTTCATATGTCAAATTTTGTATCTAAAACTGATTTGTTTTTTAATAATGTAAAAAAAAAGTAATCCTTGATTTAAGAATAGAGTACCGGTATATCAAAGAGTATTATTTGCAGCTAACCAAAAAGTGACTGCCAAAATTACTGTTGAAAAGCATAAAAAACATTTTTCACAGTTTCATCTCAAAATATGTTTACAAAAAAAATATTTTACAAACCCCAACCCCCCCCCCAAAAAAAATTTTAATAAATACAAACAAGCTTTTACTCAAAATCTTATTTTGATGAAAATTATCCACATGATCCAATGGTAAGTGTTGGCAATTTAATTACTCTGTTTTCCTCACCTCTTCTTCTTCACAGTAGGGCAACAGTGAAAACTTGATAACAAAGCCCCTATATAAAGCAAACACAACAAAAATAGGGGAAAATAACATTCGTACTGTTGCACAACCATACAGATTGTACTATGCTAGAGGATGTTTGCAGCAGTATCCTGATTCTTTTGCAAATGACTCAGATATTACCCGGATAATTGAAATGAAATATTATGCTGGTATAGTATGATCTGACCCAACCCAACTCCCAACCATAAAAAAGAAGGAGCAAGGGGGAAAAAAGAAAAAGAAAAAATAAACACCAAAAAGAACATCAAAGCAATCTGACATTTCAATTTAATGATAAATCATTAAATTCAGTAGCTAGGATCCCAGCTACTTGGCATCCACACAGGATGCAACTTCACACTTCATCGATTTCGTTTTTGCTACTTAAGTATTGACTTTCTTAGAGTTATTAGGCACTCTCCTGAAGACGGTCAAAGCATACTGACCGGAACGACGAGTTTATACCTCTGGTTCTTTTCAGATATTTCTCTTAGTTGAGAAATTATTCGCACATGGTGTTTCCGCAAACCTTTCATCATTTATGATAAATCATGTTTTTGCCTCACTTTCACATAAAATTGACGGTACAAATGTATTACCCATCTTTGTATCTTATCTTATTTGATATAGAAATTCATTGTTGTCGAAACAAAGAAGACTTTGGGGAATTGTAAGGTCAAAGAATCACTCTAGCAGGTTTGTACCCCTTCACAGGTGTGTAATCTATTGCAAAGAAAATGTGGCATAGCTAAATATATGAAAAAATAGGAGCAGTTTTTGAAAAAAGCCAGTTTTTTTCCAACGCTGGTCGGCCGACCAGCATTGGAAAAATACAGTTTTTCTTGAAAATGTCAGCACACCAGGAGCCATGATTTTACAGGATGCTTTAGACTGTCAATCCCTTACAATTCAGTAAGGTATTTTGTGATAATTTGGTCATCTCGTTTTTTGATGTTTGCCAATGTTGTAACTTCCCTTTAACTTACATGTACAATTCTCTTCTGTACCATGGTATATTTCAACTTGAAAAAACACTTGTGTGCTATTTCATCAAATAAGGGGCTCTTCACCGACTTATAAACAATGTATACTCAGTGTGTTACATCCCGAGTGAATTCACTCGAGTGGGACTCGAACCCATGACCTCCTGCTTTCTAGTGCAGACGTCTAACCACTCGACCACCAAGCTAAATGGTTTGCAAATTTAGCAGACTTACTTGGAAATCAGATATGTCTTGGTAAGATGCCAAAGTGCCAGGCCCAACATCAACGATATCAGCCAGCCTTTTGCTACCGCATACATGTAGATCTGTGGAGAAATTTGGAAATCTGTTTCATTTTTTTCCTCCTATCCCTGGCATCATAAAATATGCTGATCAGGCATACACTATCATTCTGATGACACTACAGTTAAGAGCAATACTTTTTCGCAAATCAGCATTTTGGGTGTTAAAAAGCACCCCTAAGGCCAAAAAAAAAAGTCTCCGGTTTCTGGTATGCGCACGCGTCGCCGTAGCCATGCGCGTCGGCAAAATGAAAAAGTTTTTTTTCAATGAAAGATGATGTCTCAAAACCGCCAAACTCACTAGTTGAACTAGAATCCTGCTGCTGCACAATTTTAACATGTTTTTAGACTGGGTTATGGTCGAGAATAAGCTTTATGTGGCCTCTCTGGACTCCCATATATTTGCACTAAGTTTAGTCGGGCACCACTTGCAGGCATCAGCCGACATTTGAAGCAAAAAAAATCAGGAAAAAAAAAAAAAAGCCGCGTCGCCGCACCACTTTTTGGGCAAGCTCCATACCAGAAACCGGAGACTTTTTTTTTTTACCTTAATGGAAATAATTTTAAATGTTTCCTCATTTATTTTGTACAAATAAAGCAGACTCAAAATGTCTTTTTTTTTCGTAACATCCTGCATTGTCCTAGCTTTGGTCAAGGCTTTCGACGACAGTGTTAGATGATAGATGGTCAAGTGCTAAAATAGTCAGTAGTCAGGCGCTAGCGCTTTGCACTCACATATGTGACCGCTGTAGAACAATGAAAATACGGCATACAGGACAGTATATAACATTGTCATGTGATTCAGGATCAGCATCCTCCAGGTTTTAGTCAGTGTGCCATAAGCAATTTTGACTAATGCACCTTTGCAATGCAAAAGATTTGTCAGCCATGCTCTAATGACATAAAAAGATGTAATTCATTAATTTTCCTTTAAAGACTCGACACATAAGAAATGATGTAGCAAGTACTGTTGTTTATCTATTATTTCACCGACTTACAATGAAGGCGAGGAAGGAAGCTGGTGCTGATTTCCAACCAAATAAGTTACCAACCGCCTTGAGCCATTGGATGATTGGCTGGTAGCCTGCCTCTGTTAATGAAAAAACAAACACATACACATCACGGATAGGTTGCTCACAGTAGAGGGCTCTGACTTGCCCAGGTGACCCAGCCTATGTCCCGGGTACCAGTAAGTAAGCATTGCCATTGTAGTAGGCTAAGATCGTATAGCACAGCACGCAGTAGGTAGTAGGCAAAGCTGCGATAGATGGCAAAAACTGTGAGAAAAATGCGGAGCCAACACCTAGTGCTGGTCGGCTTGATTATGACAACCGTACACGGCACAGGTAGTGACCATTACGCCATTTGATACAAAATTTGCGGTTATTTTACACGAAGATAAGCCCTACTAGTGGGGAATGAAACACTGGACACAGTAGATGAGTACAGGGACAGAAGATCACATTTAAGGTTGGGAATTCAGAGGAGATTCAGAGGAGAATACAACTTGCATGGGCAAAATTTGGCAAGTTGAGTTACGTATTCAAGGACAGAAAAATACTGTAAAAGATGAAGCGTTAACTCTTCGACCAGTGCATCATCCCAGTTTTAACATATGGCGCTGAGACTTGGCAAGGGATCGAAAAGCATGGAAAGTTAGTGGAGAGGCCTTCATCCAGCAGTGGATTGAATTAGGCTAATGATGATGAACCCCTCCTGTCTAGTGGTTGCTAACCAAACATTTGCCTTCTACTATGGTGGCCTATCACAGGGAGACAGAAAAGTCCATTTGACGTCATCTGATCAGAACCTATAAAGACTTTATTTAGCCCTTAGACTACTACACGAGAACTTGCACAACTTGTTTGCTTATACTGATCAGCTTTCTGAAATTGGGCCCTGTCCCTAGCAATTTAACAACATAATGACATTTTGGCAGGTACACTGTACACCCGTTTTTTAATACACTCTTTTTGTAACTGAACATAAAATATGACATGCAAATGGTCATAGAGCTTTAATTTAAGGAATGAAATTCTACTTTACTTACTAAACCGCTTGATGTTTGCTTTCAATCTGTGAAAAAGAAATAATAAATAATAATACATGATAGCGTGAATACCAGTCTACACAGTTATAGCAAATTGCTTTTATAGTTTGCATTTTGTTAAGAAACAGTGAAAAAAGGCAAGTTGTTATAGTCAGAGAGGCATGTTATGCTTGGAAAGTGACATGATACACTCATAAACATTTCAGTTTCAAGCAGGAGACATATTTTGGTTTGGAATACAATTGCAGAAAAATAACAAACACATAGAAAAGCTGTGAAAATGTTCAGAGTTCCAGAGATTTCGAGAACTTTAGAGCTTTACAGGCTCCACTGTGTATTGGACGGCTTTGAGGGAATACACAAAATTAGAATAATTGTGTTATAGCAAGTGCAATATCTTCTTCCCCCGAAGAAAAAAAGCCATCCATTTTAATTATTATTTAGTATGATTTTTCCACAAGAAAATCACTTCTACATGGAATTGTGACAAAATACCAGCTAATGTAAGCTTAGGCCAAGAAAAAAAGTCTCCGGTTTCTGGTATGGAGCTTGCCAAAAAAGTGGTTTGGCGACGCGGCTTGTTTTTTGGGTGGGGTTTTGGGTTACTTTTTTTTCTTGAAATGTCAGCTGATGACTGCATAATTATTTATTATTGCATTCTGTACATCACAATTGGACATAGCTGTAAGGTTGGAATGCACTCACTTTTTGACAGCCAGCTCTTCTCCTTCATCATTCTCAGTCGTCTTCTCATCATCGGGATCCTCGGTGAAGTCTGCTATCACTTCATACACTGTATTCATCAGCCATTCCTGCATTTGAGTCTTCAAGGTAGGTTTTCTTGGTGGTTCTGGAAAAAAAAATTGACAAATTGCTGCTCACTGTCTTTTATTTAAAAAAAACAAACAGAAAACTGCATGGCTTTCATTATTACTTAAATTTCATTTTAAATATTTATCACTGAGAAGACTCACCTTAATAGACGGTGTTGCAAACATCAACAGACAAATATGAAAACCCTTTCTCCTTAAAGAAAAATTAGAAATACATACACTAGAGGTTTGTCTGCTTGATGAACAGAACATAGAACATTCATGCTTATTTAGTCCATATGCAGCTAAATGAGAGAACTAAGTTCCACGACTTATTTGCTGTTTCAGCAAGTTTGTAGTTTCTTCATGTAGATATACGCACTTTAAAGATGCCGTCACATTACCCATGATGACATCATGACGTCACCTCAGTTTCAAATGTCCACATCTATGTATATTTTTACCTACTTGTATAACATGTCTGTGTCTACATACATATCAAGTTTCACCTCAATTGAACTTGCGCTTCTCTAGATATAGGACTTTTAAATATGCACCTTCAAGATATATCACGTGACCCATCATCACAAGGTCCATCTTCACGGCACCATCTTTGCTATGGTCTTCATCTATGTTGAGGTTTATTAATCCTAACTACTGTACCTAGTATGAGTTACTAGGAACCATACCCATCCTGGCAAATTCTAACACCATATGGGAAACTGCACATACATATTTCTGATTCTGGAGGTGTGCTAACCCAATGTAAAAGACTGTTAGTTTATAAAATTTTTGAATTTTTTTTTTGCGTCGGGGTGATATAAATCAAATTAGGTTTTGCCCTGCACTGACATGTTCAATCTTATAATAGTTTACGCCGTACCTGCTGCTATGTACATCAGATTCGAACCAGCCAACCGATCCCGTTAGCTTGGTGGTCGAGTGGTAAGACATCTGCACTAGAAAGCAGGAGGTCGAGGGTTCGAGTCCCACCCGAGTGATTTCTTTCCAACTTTCACTCGGGAGGTAACACACTGAGTATACAGTGTTTAAACGTCGGTGCAGGGCAAAACCTAATTTGACTGTCAGTTTAGGGGTACTGTACCCATCCTGACAGATTCCAACAAAACATGCTGTTGGGGTATGATGGGTTGAGTACTGTTAGGGTGAAGATAGGACCTTGTTTTATGTCAAAAAGTCCGGCCAGAATAAAATATGTACAAAATCTATGGGATTGGAGATAGAACTAAAAGAAATCAGGCGAAAAAGACAAGCACAAAAACAACTAGGCTTTTCTGCAACTATGAGGAGGCTAATTAGCCAACACATCAAATGCACTGAACAATCCCACTGCCTTGTAATGTCACTCCCCTTGTGACGCTACTCCTGACAAAATTGTACGAGCTCGAGTAACCTACGTGGTTCAGTTTCTGATGGCGCCAGGTCTACAGAATCAGCTTCCTCAGCTGTATCAACTGATGATGGACGCTCTTCCATGCTGTAACTTCTCCTGTGGAATGGAGGGAGGCATTATCTGTTAACATTGTGTGCAAAGTGGAGATGTATCCCCTATGAATTCCTTTCACAGGTACCATCTCTTCACATTCAGGTGACTAGTCGTGCACACTTAACACCATTAATTAGGGATAGGCGTTACAGGCCTTTTTTTGCTGACCGTCTCAGATTTTGCAGTGTCAACTCATTTAGCATTCTGCATGTGCTGCGCACGCAGAAAACAAAACAAAAAATAATAATCATTTGGTGGAATATCATTAGTAGACACCAAACATAAGGATCCCTATTTGTCAATGTCTTTGTTCAAGGGGCATTATAGTCAGAAGCATATACCTGTATATGTCATGTAGCCAGGGATTAAAAAGTCACTCGTGATGCTACTTGTAGCGACATTAGCAATGCTGCAAACCTAATCGAGTGATCCCCAATTTGCTACTTCCCAGGTTTGCAGCATTGGCAATGTTGCTGGCATCATGACTTTAGCTTCTTGAACAAAGACCTTGACAAATGCGGATCCGCCAACATAGGGCTGGATAGCTCAGTTGGTAGAGCACCAGAACGGCAATCCAGAGGTTGCAGGTTCAAACCCTGCTCCAGTCAATTTCTTTGTTCAACTTAAAAAAATCATTTGAAATTGGTTGCACACTCCCCGCCATTCACATACATGCATATGAACAATGTGTGCACATGGTATACATATTTTTATGTACCGTATGTCTTTCCCAGAGACATGCAAGTCTGAGACCGAGACCAAGACAGAGACCTGGCGGTCCCAGACTGAGACCGAGACCAGGACCTTAAGGTTCGAGACAGAGACCGAGACCTCACGTTTAAATGTTTTCATGGAATGTGTTGTCCCTTCAGACTTACAGTGCATAGCGGTACGACTACTTAGTGGTTGGGCAAAGATCGGTAGTCGCAGCTCAACCGCCTCTGGTCGCAGCATAGCTGAATGACTGGTCACGGCATAACAACTACTCGACTATTTAGACATTGATAGTTGTGACTACCAATGCTTTATAGCATTGGTGACTAGTTGACCAGTCGCACTAGTCAGACATGCCTATCCACAAGATCATGACGTTAATTCTGCAGGCCAAGGGATGTGGCAATCGCATAACAGTGGTAAATTTTTCTGGTTTCTCAATATACCTCTCTATGTTTTCCAGCTGCTGCTGCAACTCCTCACATTCTTGAGATAGCTTAGCACTGTTGTCCTTCTCATGATCAAGCATTTGCAGCAACTTCGTCATGTCAGAGTTCTCCCTAAACTTGGTGACCTCTGACTCTGTGGGTCAAACAAAATGTCAAAGGTCAACACGACACAAATAGAAAATTCACTTTATGTCAAGGTTGGTGGTTGTAACTGACGCCATAACAAACAGGTTCATTTCTTGGGGAAAAAAAATTATTTTAAGGAATAGTGACAAACTTGCAAATGTATGATTGAACTAAAACTGAAAAACTTAAGACCTTAACAAACTTGATACCTAAAAATTGACGTTTGTGGAAATTTTCAGAAGCAAATATACAGTTCCAGTTTGTGAAAAAGAGATTTTTTGCTTAGGCTCAATGACAGAACTGAATAATGTTGACGAAATTTGTTTTTAATATAATTGTCAAAACGTTTCTCAAAATTGTTCATGCATTTTAGTATTTACAATGTACTAAATTTATTTGAAATAAAAAATAAACACCATTTGACAACAGCAAAACATTGCATGCCGATCCAATTGTATTTTTAGGAAGGGGCGGGCCACAGGCCACCTACATGTATGCCATGGTAAATAGTCTAAATAGTGATTGTCAGTATAAAAAACTGGAGCAGATTCTTACGCAATGTCTGATTCTGTATCATGCTGTCCACTAGCTGCTCCTGCAGTGTTCTCAACTGTGTCTCGTAAATATTCTTCTCACTGTCTTCCCATTGGCTCCTTTGGGAGGTTGTCGACCCTGACCTCTTGCGAGACTCCTCATTGGACAACCGACCCTGCTCCTTCAGAAATGAAGATGGATGTCAATGACACTTAATAAAGATTGTCCATGCTCTTCATCAATTCAAATTTATTCCCTGAACAAATTATCAACTTTATGTTCCATTGTAATGAAATAAATAGGTGGGGGAGGGTAGGACTTTATGCACAAAAACACATCTGAACTGTGAGTAGACTGGTTTCTGGGCCCTACGTTATCAACTCTGGTAGGGGCTGGAACAAGTCTATCCATCAAGAACTGGGGCCACAAATTACATGTTTTCGAAATTTAAGACGTAATTATTCCATGACTATAGAGCGTGCAAGTCTCGCCAGTCCACGTTCACTTTTTATGTGAACGACTTGGCACCAAACGGTCTGGTCACAGACCCCGTGTTTGTATTTAACAAACTGTTATTGGCATGATTGGCTAAACGGAAGAGGCAACTGGTAGCAATCACCTTAAGTCAAGTCAAAGGATAGCTAGAATTAACAGGGGAATTCCTAACTACATGTATTATAACAGCAGTCACTTAATTGACTGTGACTGCTGTGATGGCATAGCTGACTTTGCCAGCCAGAGAGGAATAGAGTAGGGCTTCTCTCTGTGAGTGTCTGGAAAAAAATGTACAATGTAGGTCGCCCGATGAAATGTCGATTTCAGCAGGTCTAGAATGTAAGGCACAAGACTTGAAATCAGCCTGAGTACTATGTACCTTTCTTCTGGTGCCTGGCGATGAAGAGTCCCCAGATGCTCCTCCTTTGTCGTACTTCTTTCGACCGGACGACGGTGACCCTCCTTCCATCACATGATCACTCAACGACAGCTCGTCAGCGCTAGAGTTCACATCGTCTGATCCAGAGGAGGCCTGAATGTCGGACGTGTTGGAGCTGCGCTTCTGAAGGGCTCCCTCGGTGGGTGGAGTTTGTTTGTGGAACCGGCTGCGGAGGTGTGCTCTCAAGGACATGATGATCACTGCTCAGATCTTCCTGTGAATTTGAATATAAACAATTTTAGTATCAACCTTTACCGCCCTGATTCCTTCAAAATCCTCTTTGCCAAAGTGGAAGAATTTGAAGGATTGAGGTTACATGGCAAAAGTGCGTTACTGATTTCGTAGGATGCACTTGGTCAAGGTTTTGGGCCAGATCTACGGTGTTGTTTTTGTCAAAAAAACCTGTACCTCAGGTGGCATATCTAGTAATTTGTAGGCCATTTTGAGGGTGAAATCTGATGTTTTTGTTGGGAAATGTTTGGTTTTTGGGTCAAGGACAAAATTGTGTTGTAGAGTCTAGATACTCAGTGCGCGCGGGCCATAGATTAGGGCTAGCTCTACTGAGTGGAGCGTTGAATTACGGGTACCCCTCCATACAAACGCTCCACTGATTTGCCATACTTTGGTGACACCGTCACAGTAGCATAGTCACAAACCCACGCGAGGACAAAAAGACCCCCCAAAAAACGGTAAAGAGAATACAAATGAGAGAGACAGTTATCCTGGATTGATCTATACATTCTTGACATTCCATGAGACCCCTTATATTGTTCCCAAACAGTGAAAATTTGAAAAAAACCAGCAAAATAGTCTGAAAACTTACAGCTCAATGTGTTTGCAGGGAGGCTCAGTTCTCGAATCGACTTGTCGAATGAGGGCGTCTGACGTGACGTCACCGTCGTTGTTCGATCGCGAAGAAAAAAAAGTTGTGCTTTATCAACTACTGTTTCGTGTAATAATACGTGCTCTGATCTGCGCCGCGCCGTACAACAGTATGGGCTTTGAACACACCCAAGGAGCATGTATCATTACACAAAACAGTCGTGGATAAAGCGCGACTTGGTTTTCTTCAATCGAACAACGACGGTTCGCTGTTTGGGAACAATATATGGGGTCTCATGGAATGTCAAGAATGTATAGATCAATCCAGGATAACTGTCTCTCTCATTTGTATTCTCTTTACCGTTTTTTTTTGGGGGTCTTTTTGTCCTCGCGTGGGTTTGTGACTATGCTACTGTGACGGTGTCACCAAAGTATGGCACATCGGTGCAGCGTTTGTATGGGGAGGGGTACCCGTAATTCAACGCTCCACTCAGTAGAGCTAGACTAGGGCTAGCTTAGATCCGTGAATGTGGCTTGTGAACTACGCCACGCTCTTGTACCATTTCGAACCAAGCGAAATCGTCCTTCCGTGACAAAAACTTAACATTGCTTTACCTTGTGATAAGTACTCACATATCAAGCTTTCTTGAACATGTTGAAATCTGCCTTTAAGGCCAAATCTTGCATTTTAATCAAAATTCGAGGTAAACTCTAGCAAGATCGCGACGTCCTGCAACCTCCTCCTGATGCATGTGATTTACCACGTGATAAATGCTGCGGATAATTTGGTATCGCACTGATGCTCTGGGCTCTCCTTATGTCTGAAACATAAGTGTGATTCCAAATTATTAGCTGCGTTTATCACGTGGTCTCGTGATTGGCCAATCTGACGCCGCCCGATCATATGCGTCACATGAAGCAGACGGGTAGCTCGGAGGGCTTTAATAATTTGGCACGCAAGTGACCCTGGGTACTTGTCCAGTTAATGTTAAAATCTAATTTTTACACGTTCGTATGGGTCTTCATTGACGGCAAATTTCGTCGAAATGACACATCCTGAACACCCATACTTGTTTCACATGACTAGTGTGGACTTTCCATTGCTTTCGTGTAGTTAAGAAAAACCAGTGAAAAAAATCATTTTTCTCACACTGTGAAAACTCTTTCAACCCAATTTTTTTTCTATGATTCCCTTTAGTGTTTCTCTTCATTCTGCTACAGATAAACCTAACCCAAAAATGCCTCTAAACCTGTTTTCCAGAAATGGGGAAACACTGTGTGGACGTGGGGTAAGTCCACACAACGTCGGTGCTACCTACATTATGTGGACGTCTTTTGTTCGGAAGTCCACACTGCGTATGTAAGACAAACTCACGCGGGAAGGCAAATTTAGATTTCTAGGCGAGTACTCAACATGCATACGAAATTACAATGTATGTGAGGCGGATCGATTTCTCGAAATGACACTGTCACAACAGCGTGGCGTTGTATACAACGCCACATTCACGGGTCTAGGGTAGCTGGAGTTACCCAGCCCTGAGTTTTATCATTGGGTTGTCTATTAGGGCTGGAGCGTATTTTTCTCGTAACTAGTAGTATTTGCAAAAAAATTTGAAAAAATGTTCAATTTTGTCCCCGCTACACACTAATTGCAACTGCAACTCACCCCAAACTTGCCTGGAATAACCATTACACAGGTCCTTGAAGTAAAAAACGATCCACGATGAAGATTCAGCCTACAATTGCAGTGAAAACAGGAGGAATAACCGTTAACTTGACAACCTTGCTGGATTGGCCAGGACTGCTATTGGTTTGTGCACTAAAAAAAAATTGTGTACAATGAATGGCGGCGGTCGATTACCATCCACGTACAGCTCGCTGGTACTACGCGTTTTTGCGGTCGGTGCATGACGTGACGCGGAAGCGTAATACCCGATGACTGTTTCATGCATTAAGAAGAGGTTCACTCGCATCACAGTGCGGTACTGGAACGGCAACCGTCGAGTTGGCCGGCTATCGTGCATTCATAGTGCAGTGTTACTCAACGGTTGCCGTTCCAGTACCGCACTGTGATGCGAGTGAACCTCTTCTTAATGCATGAAACAGTCATCGGGTATTACGCTTCCGCGTCACGTCATGCACCGACCGCAAAAATGCGTAGTACCAGCGAGCTGTACGTGGATGGTAATCGACCGCCGCCATTCATTGTACACAATTTTTTTTTAGTGCACAAACCAATAGCAGTCCTGGCCAATCCAGCAAGGTTGTCAAGTTAGCGGTTATTCCTCCTGTTTTCACTGCAATTGTAGGCTGAATCTTCATCGTGGATCGTTTTTTACTTCAAGGACCTGTGTAATGGTTATTCCAGGCAAGTTTGGGGTGAGTTGCAGTTGCAATTAGTGTGTAGCGGGGACAAAATTGAACATTTTTTCAAAATTTTTTGCAAATACTACTACATGTAGTTACGAGAAAAATACGCTCCAGCCCTAATAGACAACCCAATGATAAAACTCAGGGCTGGGTAACTCCAGCTAGGTCTAGGGCTGGCTAGCTATTCTGTAGCAGGACATTTTCAATTTTTTCGACCCTCCAATAGTCTAGCCCCATAAATGTGGCCTATTTACTGGACTGCCTCCGTAAACATAGGCCACACGTCCACATGTACAAAAATCGTGTCGACTTTGCCAAATTTTGATTTTCACATTAAGGCTTAGTTTGTAGGGGTTTTTTGCTTTAGAAGCATACTCACCCACTTTATAGGCTAATCAGAAAGTGCTGCCTTTTTCAGATGTATACTTTTCGTGAAATTTCCAGATTCATTTTTACACGTTTGCGTATCAAAATTTCAACATGAAATTTCACAAAAATTAGACATCTGAAAAAGGCAGCACTTTCTGACTAGCCTATAAAGTGGGTGAGTATGCTTCTAAAGCAAAAAAATCCTACAAACTAAGCCTAAATGTGAAAATCAAAATTTGGCAAAGTCGACACGATTTTTGTACATGTGGACGTGTGGCCTATGTTTACGGAGGCAGTCCAGTAAATAGGCCACATTTATGGGGCTACCAATAGTCTAAACTCTCCTGTCAAGAAATGTTCAGCCTCAGTATTTCAAAAGTATTATCTTGATGTGAATAGGTACCTCTACGTAGGGTCGAAATCACTTGAATGTCAAACAAAAATGTGAAATTTACCCAGAACTTCATTCACCAGGATCACAGGAGCCTCGCACTCGGCCGTCTGTCAATGTTATTGTTTACCGTCGACTGAGGGCGCTTTATTCTCTTCACAAGACAGCGCACGCGGCGTTCATAATTCCGCTAGTGTTTCCGGCCTCGCGTCATCATAATAATCTCCTTTTTTGTGTCCGACGAAAATGTCTTTTTAATCCTCATGGATCTATCATCTTCGAGTATAATAATTTTTGTATATAATTAGGCCTTTATAGAGCCGTACTCTTTACCTTTTTTGTTTACTTAGAGACTTTAGTTCCTCTCAAACCTCCCTAGATATTGAATTCCCTCGAGTAGCTTCCGATATGACAGAGCTAGAAGTGTGCGCGCAGTTTTAAACGTACTGGATGTCTTTCCGGTACTAGTCCAGCGGATTTGTGACAAAATTGTGCATTTTTTTTTCATAAAAGCGTGCCAAAACTCGGCACAGATGTTTATATTCGTGCGTTTACCCTTTTAGGGGCGTGGCAGCCATTTAATAAAAGGGGGGTACTCATCATCATCATGCCCACAGTGACACGGTACGTTGCTCCCACTTGTCTCAAAAAGCAGGAAACTTCACAAAGACATAATTATAAAGATTATAAGTGTTTTCCAGATGTGGTGGAGCCACCAAAAACACCTTTTTGGGGGCGTGGTAGCCATTTAAAAAGGGGGTAATTATATTTGCCCATGCAGCTTGGGAATAATTTTGATAATTTTGCCCACATTTCATGAACGAATGAACCTTCCGACAGACGTTTATATTCATGAGTGAAAAAGTCCAGATGTGGAGCCATCTCGAACCTGACACCCTTTTAGGGGCGTGGCAACCATATTAGAAGAAAAAAAAAGGTGTGTTGCCATGGACCGTTTGATGTCCCTAAAGAAGAAACTAAGAAACAATCCATTCTTCCACCAAGACTATGTGACCTTCATGAACTCGCTAATCGAAAGAGGGTATGCAGAGAAAGTCACTGAAGCCTCTATGTCAGCAGCGATATAGTGAACCGGTGGTACATGCCTCATCATGGCATCAACAACCCCACCTCTGGCTGACTGGGCAAGAAAAGGGTAGTTTTTGATGATTGCTCGGCGAAGACCAGAGGAGTTTTGCTCAATGATGCACTCCTCCAAGGACCTTTTCTCACGGACACAGTTGTAGAAGTGCTGCTTCGCTTCAGGCAGCAACCAGTTGGGCTCATGGGAGACATCGAGGGCATGTTCTTCCAATCCAGGGTCTCTGAACAACACACAGACTGTCTGTGTTACTGTGGTTTCCAGATGGAGACACATCCCGACCATCAAAGGTCTACCGTCTGCAGTCGCACCCTTTGGTGCTGTATCATCGTCATCTTGCGCTTTAGTAGCTCTGTGTAAATGTGCAGCAGACAACCAGCATCATGAGATCCCAAGGAAGTTTCTACGTCGATGTCAGTGCATGTTTTGATGCCAAGGAAGCTTTTAAAACCCAGGAGAATTGTCAGGGAGCTAGGTACCGTGTGCAGTCGTGGAAGGTTCAACCTGCACAAGTGAGTTAGTAACAATTAACAAGGCAGTGAATGACTCCATTCATTCAGAGGAGAGACCAAAGTCACAGCAGCTGACCATTGAGAGCATTGACAAGCCACAATCAGAGCGGGCATTTGGGAGTCTTCTGGAATACCCTGGAGGATACCTTGGGGTTTAAGGTCAACCTAAAAGAGGCGGGCATGGTTGGGTTGTGGGTTGAACATGGTACAACTAAATAGGGGTTATGTCCAAAAAAATACAAGTAATTACAGAAGGCAAATGTAACAAAAGAAGTATAGCGCAAAGGCACATTGTACTTGTTAGTGGGTTGATAATTATCTTTAAGAGACTTTCATTGATATTCCTATTTTCAAAGAAAAGATATTTCAATCAAAGACAAGCTTAAAATTCCTCTGTATGTAGGGGTACGTACGTGGGGCATGCGTAGTGAGCAAAGCACACGACCTTCTACTAGTGAAGGTGACAAACTTCAGAGCTTTTAATCTGATTTGACTTACTTTACTTTTGGCGCTTGAAAATTAATTGAAAAAAAGGTGTGGCCCACTACCGAATTTTTTCCGAAACTGTAAATATGTTCAGTTCTCTTGTCCAACTTGTTTTTCATTTTAAAAGTCTCCTTGAACAGTTGACACAACCAACGGTTGCAGGAAATTTTAAAATGGCGGCCATCTTGAAAAAAAATAAAAATAAAAGGCCCCGCTTCCTCCATTTTTTCAAAAACCCCGGACGAGAAACTGTTGTTGTTTTTTACTTCGCCTTATCTAGACAAATATGTTTATTTTGTAACATGTTATGTTCGTCTGTCGGTCTTCTATGCTGTTATGTTTACTTTTAGGTACCTTCAATGGTACTATGTTTTATTAACCTGTTCATTTGTTTAATTAAACTAATAAAGCACATATAGTTGCCAAATATGGCACTAACAAGTTTGAGGTCGGCAATTTCGTCTTTAAAAATCTGGGTACGTCGGGTTACCGTACACAAAATTGTCCTGGAGACAACAGTACCAAAGTACAGAAAGTCGTACGCAAGAGCTAGCTCCCCAGCAAGTATCACTGACGCCATAATGATTCCAAAATGTCTCACTGTGTCACACAGTGAAATAACTAAACAGCGTCGTTGTATTGTGAACACATAAAAGCATTCAAGTCGCGGCGTTCTTGCACACTTTCTGCAAGTCGACATAGATATCCTTGAACCACTGCCCCTGCTTTGCATAACAAGTGCACATGAATGAACGATTGACTTTTATTCAAAGAAAACCACCGTACCGCACGGCTACACCATCGTACAGTGTGGCAGGGACACCAACAAGTAACAAAACAACTAAAAAAAATGTTTAAAAATTGATAAATATTCTGATTGAATTTCGTTAAAAGATACTTGTTGGTGAGGTATCACATATTCTAGCAAAAGGATAAAAATGTACAATATTACAATATGCAATTTTGAGGGAAATGGGCAAAATACTGCATATAATAATATCACTTGATCATATTCATAATACACAAACCGACAATTTTCATTTTTAGACCCACAACGAGAAATATTGTTAACACTGGGCTTATTGTGAGGAGTTGTGCTGGGAATCCATGAAGATGTTATTTTCAACATAATTTATGTGTGGGAAAGTATGGTACACAAACATGACTGTGTGATTCAAAAGCAGTTGTTGATGCGATCCCTGAATTTACAGCACTCCGTTTAAACACCAATACATAAATTCCCATAGGCACCAAAGATAAATACCCCAATTTAAACAAATCGGGGAACATACTCTTAACCCTCACAGGTGATCAAAACATACATCAAATGAAAGCTGAATTAATCCTCTTTACCTTTTTTGAAATCTTTTTTTTGGGGGGGTTGACCTATGACTTTTGGGTGATTTTTCCCTCCAACGATGATCACCCCATTGCCATTTTGAAAAAAAAAACAGATTTCTTCCAGATTCCATTCAAATGTTTTGTTCAGACCCTTCAGATCCTTGACCCTTCACTTCTACAGGGGCCAAAATTCTTTATTATTACAGATAAACTTGTATACAAATCGTAATTTGGCTGGATTAGGTCGCGCCTATTTGAGCTGCCTCTCATATGTACTGCGATCGGGAAATCTCCAGCGAAATAAAGACTTGAAGAAACTTTATTTGATTTATTTGATTCAATTATTTTATTATAAATCTTAAAACATAAAATAAAAGCTCTATCCCAGGTAGCAAGCCCATATGGGTGGCATATGGGCCCCACCAGGGCCAATATATGGGTCCCATATGGGAGGACCCATATGGGTCCCATATGGGAGGACCCATATGGGCCCCAGATAATTTTGCACCCAAGATTCTTATGGGACCCATATGGGCCAGCCCAGATAAACCCATATGGGTTATGTCTGGGGCCCATCTGGGCAAACATCTGGGTAAAATATGGGGAAGCTTTAATGGGCCCCATCTGGGCCAAGATATGGGTCCCATATGGGCGGACCCAAATGGGCCCCAGATAATTTTGCACCCAAGATCCTTATGGGACCCATATGGGCCAGCCCAGATAACCCATATGGGTTACCTGTGGGGCCCATCTGGGTAAAATGTGGGTTGTCCAAAGTATATTAATCCTAATCTCAATCCTGAATTTCAATCCTGAATCTTACCTTATTACGTTCTCATCCACCGTAATGTCCAAATCACATTATATTTCCATTTAAATTTATATACCCTAGTCACATTCCTCGCTAATACATCTCACAATGCTCCATCCAACTTTCCAACTTTACTTCTTCTAATTAATCCCTTAATCCTCCCAAATAGCATCTACAACCATAATATACCCCGTAATCACATCCCCTATGCCCGTAATAATATTCCCCATAATCATCCCTCCTTCTCTATACTTTCTAATTATATCTTTTGTGTGCACACTTCCTATATATATGCCCAATAATTTCCATTTTCTAAATCACAGTTAGCAAATTGTCAAGCTCCGCCCACAGCTTTGTTTCACAAGTGAGCATGATCAGTTACGTAATACATATTCATGACTTTTTTGCATACCAACTCTTAATGATCAACAAGTCATTTTCTAAACAACTTCTTTAGCTTATAACTCTTGACTAACACCGTCGATCTTGTGAATACTTTCCCTTTCCATAGACAATTCACTGAACAACAACTTGGCAGTGTGCACAACCTCGTTTGACCTTAATTTCCGGCTCTACCGGATGTTCGAAATATGATCAATTATTTCTCTTATAACTGTTCAACAATATCACCAATCGTGTTCATACTTTGCAATGCGATGCTACATTCATAGATCAACATTTGCGAACTGTACATGACCTCCTTCGACACTTACTTCCGGCTCGACCGGAAGTTCAAACTTAGATCAGCTTTTCCCCATGTAACACCCATATGGGCCGGCCCATATTCTGCCCACATAAGTTTGCCAAGGTTGTTCCCATGTGACACCCACATGAGCCCATCCGTATTCAACCCACATTGGATTGCCGCTTTTCC